TGCGGTACGCGGGCCTCTCACTGTTGTGGCCTCTCCCGTTGCGGAGCACAGGCTCCGGATGCACAGGCTCAGTGGCCATGGCTCACGGGCCCAGCCGCTCCGTGGCCTGTGGGATCTTCCCGCACCGGGGCACGAACCCGTGTCCCCTGCATCGGCAGGCGGACTCTCAACCACTGCGCCACCAGGGAAGCCTTTCTTCCCTCTTGAAGAGATGTGCTTTATCTCTTTGAAGAATCGTATGGTTTTACACTCTGTTATTTGGCTAGCTTTGTCTCAACTGTGTTAGAATCAGTGTGTGCCTTTCTGGATAATGAGGCTATAATTAGAGTTATGCAGAATCCCTGTGTAGCACAAACAGAAAATCCAGCATGCAAATGTGAAGCTAATTATTAGGCAATTAAATGTTTGTAAGTCACTTGTAAGGAATGCATGTGTTGTTATCATGTGTTATTTAAAAGGCAGTGCTTGATCCTATTTCAGTTACTAGAAATGTAATCTATAGCTTTTCCATTTTTGTGTATTATAGCTCTGTGGTGGTGCTGAGGTAGATATTAGACAATGTCTTGGGATACTTTAGCGAGTAGGCTTGAGTTAGAGAACCGGTTAATGACTACCGTGCAGTAACTGGAGATGCTAAAGCTGTTCTTTGCTGGCAGTTTTATGTTTCAGATTCTGGGAGTGAGTTTAAGTTTGGAAGATGTTCTTTTTAACTGATTCAAACGTGGGAAATATCACAGTCTCTGGTAGAAATAACCACGTGGGCCAGGGGAATTTAAATGAAAATTGCCTGGCCTTCATTTGCACACTGCCTTTCGATAACACTTTTTCTTCCATTTAAACTTTATTTAGAATTTCTTACAGGCCTTAGGATTTTTGCCTTATAACGGTGTCAATATGTGGATTCTTCATTCAGGAAACCTCAACCTCTGAGATTCTGGCTGAGCACCGGCTAGATAGAGATGAACGAGAAACTTTGATTTTCTTTGGGGCAAAGTCCAAGGAGGTATACAGAGAATTAAGTGTAACAGGACAGATGTGCACAGAGTATTATGGGATTGAGAAGAAACAAACTGAAACTTCTCACCCTGCCTTACAAAGCCCTACAGGTCTCCCCTGACCAGCCTCTCATTACCTCTGGGACCCCACCTTGTCTCTCTGTTCCCCCGGTCAGTTACTATTCCGCCCCCCTGGACCTCATGAAGTTCCTCTCAGCCTTCTCTCATCATTGCACTTGCTTTTTCCCTCTGCCTGCAGTTGCTCTGCCTCTTACCTTTTTTATAGCTGGATCCTTAGTACTGAGAAACTTAAACATCACTTGCTGAGAACAGCCCCTTCCTTTAGACAACCCAATGTTAAGGGGATATTTTCTGGCTCATCACTGTATAATTTTTAGATTAATGGGTTCCTCATCTGTGTATCTTGTACTGTTTCCCTTCCTCTGTCCTTTTGGACAGAGCTCTTGTCCTATTGATCTTATGTCTTAGCACCTCGTAGGTACTCAGTCAGAATTTACTAATTCACGGTGAAGTGAAAATAATGAGGATAAACAGCTCTTTAAGAGGTTAAAACCTCTCAAGAGGAGGCTGTGTGAGACAGAGAAACTGGGACCGTTTCTAGCAAGGCATATGGAGTCAAGGGAGGGGTTTGGTGTCTGTTTTAAAAATTAGCTGGTTTAGTATATTCACAGTGTTATGCAGCCATCGTAAATTTTAGAACATAGTCATCACCTCAGAGAGAAACTCTTTACCTTTTACGTATCAGCCTCAAATCACCTCAGCCCTAAGCAACTACTAATTGACTTTCTGTGTCTATGGATTTGCCTTTTTGGGACATTTCGTATAAAAGGAATCATACATAACAATAATATGTGCTCTTTTGTGACTGGCTTCTTTCACTTAGCATATTTTCAAGGTTCTTCCATCTTGTGGCATGTGTCAGGACTTCATGCCTTTTTATGGCTGAATGATATTCCATTGTATGTATATACCACGTTTTGTTTATTCATCTAGGCTAATAAGACTTGGGTTGTTTCTACCTTTTGGCTACTGTGAATGATGCTGCAGTTAAGGCTGGTATACAAATACCCATCTGAGTACCTGTTTTCAGTTTTGGGTATACAGCTAGGAGTGAAATTGCTGAATGATATGGTCATTCTATGTTCAGCTTTTTGATAATCCATCAAAATGCTTTTTCACAATGCACCATTTTATTTTCCCACCAGCAATGTATGAGAGTTAAATTTCTTCATATTCTCATCAATGCTTGTTGTTTGACTTTTAAAAATATATAGCCATCCTAGTAAGAGTAAAGTGGTATCTTGTGGTTTTGATTTGCTCTTCTCTAATGACTAATGACGTTGATCATGTTTTCATATGCTGTAGTAGCCATTCATATAGCTTCTTTAGAGAAAGAAATGTCTATTCAAGCTTTTTGCCTATTTTTTATTTGAGTTGTTTGCCTTTTGGTTGTTAAGTTGAAAGAACTATTTATATATTCTAGCTACTAGACCCTTATCATATATATGATTTGCACATGTTTTCTTCCATTCTGTATATTATCTTTTCACTTTATTGGTACTGTCTTTTGAAGCACGAAGTTTTACAACTTTAAGTCCAGTTTACCTAGTTTTTGTTTGTTGCTGTGCTTTTGGTGTCATATCTAAGAATCCAGGGCCAAATCCAAGGTCACAAAGATTTACCCCTGTGTTTTCTCCTAACACTGTCATAATTTCAGCCCTTACATCTAGGTGATTGACCCATTTTAATTTTTGTACATGGTATGATGTAGGGTGAAACTTCCTTCTTTTGTGTATGACAGTCCAGTTGTCCCAACACCATTTATTGAAGAAACTACTCCTTGTCCATTAAATATTCCTGGTACCCTTTTGAAAATCATTTGATGATAGATACATGGGTTTATTTATGGACTGTCAGTTTCATTTCATTGATATATCTATATGTCTTTCCTTATGCTAGTACCACATTATCTTGATTACCATTGCTTTGCACTGAGTTTTAAGATCAGGTGTGTGAGTCTTCCAAATATGTTCTTTTTCAAGATTATTTTGGCTATTCTGGTTTTCCATATGAATTTTAGGTTCACTTTGTCAATTTCTGCAAAAATTTTGTAAATATCACCAGCTTGGATTCTGATAGGAATTGTATTGAATCTGGGGTCAGTTTGGAGAGTATTGCCAACTTAACAATATTAAGTCTTCCTACCCAGGAACGTGGGATATCTTTCCATTTATCTAAATCTTTAATTTCTTTCAACAATGTTTTGTAGTTTTCAAAGTATGTTTTCTACTTCTTTGGTTAAGTTTATTTCTAGTATTTTTATTCTTTTTGATGCTATTATTAATGGAATTGTTCTTTTAAATTCACTTTTGGATTGTTCATTGCCAATGTATAGAAATACAGTTGACTTTTTGTATATTAATTCCATCTGCTGCACCCTTGCTGAACTTGTTTATTCTAATAGTACATGTTTTATTGGATTCTTAGACTACTTTCTATATAATATGTCATTTGCAAATAGTGATCATTTTATTTCTTACTGTCCAGTCTGAATGCTTTTTATTTCATTTTTTGCCTAATTGCCCTGACTAGCACCTCCAGTACAATGTGAAATAGAAGTGGCAAGAAAAGACATCTTTGTATTCCTGATTTTAGAGGAAAAGCATAGTCTTTCATCATTAAACATGATGTTAGCTATGCCTTTTACATAGATGCCCCTTATCAGTTTGAGGAAATTCCTCTCTGTTCCTAGTTTGAGTGGGTTTTTTTCCATGAAAGGGTGTTGGATTTTGTCAGATGTTTTCTCTGCATCTATTGAGATGACCATATGGTATTTTCCTTTTATTCTATCAATATGGTACATTACATTATATGCTTTTGGCGGGGGGGGGGGGTGTGTTAAACCAACCTTGCCTAATTGCCACTTGGCCGTGATGTATATAATTTTTTTTTTTTTTTTGCAGTACGTGGGCCTCTCATTGTTGTGGCCTCTCCCGTTGCGGAGCACAGGCTCCGGACACGCAGGCTTAGCGGCCATGGCTCACGGGCCCAGCCGCTCCGCGGCATGTGGGACCCTCCCGGACCGGGGCACGAACCCGTGTCCCCTGCATCGGCAGGCGGACTCTCAACCACTGTGCGACCAGGGAAGCCCCTATAATTATTTTTGCCACTGGATTATTTTCTCTAGTATTTTGTTGAGGATTTTTAAAATCTGTATTCATAAGAGATTGGTCTATAATATCCTTTTTTTTGTTGGCATCTGTCTGATTTTTTATTGGCCTCATAAAATTCTACTTTTTGGAAGGGTATGAAGAATTGGTATTAATTATTTTTTATGTGTTTGGTAGAATTACCAGTAGAACCATCTGGGGATAGATTTTTCTTTGTGGGTATTTTCTGGTTACTAATCCTGATTATATAGTGAACCATAATAGCCCTGCTAGGTTGGGTTCTTGGTGAGAGCCCTCTTCCTGCCCTACAGATGGCTGCCTTCTTGCTGTGTCCTCACATGGTAAAGAGACACATCTCATTTCTCTTCATCCCATAATAAGGATGCCAATATTCTCATGGGTCTCTACTCCCATTACCTCATCTGAGCCCACTTACCTCCCAAAGGCCCTGCCTCCAAATACCATCACATTGGGGATTAGGGC